CCCAACCCGAAATAATCGAATCATGTAGTGTCTTTGCCAAAATAGAGTATGTTTGGAGAAAGGTCAAGTAGAGTTCTATTTAACTGAAAGGGATAGTTTAGTTATTGTGTGTTTAAAGATTATTCTGCAGCTGTCGCAGAATATGCTGATAAAACTGGTATGCATCTCTGAAATTACTGGAGCTTGTTGTCTGTGGTGCAAATTGTTAGAAGAGCAATTGGATAATTTGAAAACAATTACTTCAGAACTGTACCTTCAGGGGAAAGTTATTCTCTGAAATATACACAGCTAATGACTCTTGAAGCCTTTCGTTATGTATTGTGAGACAGAAAACGGCCCTTGCTTTGAAAGACTGCCTACACAGAAGAGGTATCTGCTTTCCTGTTGCACAGTTCTTCCTATCTTGTGCGTGAAGGAAAGGTTCAGATTGCCACCGGAGTTGCAGAGGCTCCTACTTACTGTTAGATTTCTTACAAGGCACTTCCTTGTTGGTAAATGCTAGGTGCAGAGACTGAGGTGGTGTTTGAAAATGACCTTAAATGCCTCTTACAGTTAGGGTCATCCACAGTGATTCATACTAGTAGTGGTAGATAATTTATGTAAATGTTACTAGGAGAAAATGGATGTGTAAAGCTAGAACACATTCTCAGCTAAATTTTTAAATACTAACAATCTTCATCCAATTAAAAGCTATATTCTTTGTACACCAGGTGGCATCAAAGGTTAAGCATTTCTTCAGGATGTATTCCATTAACAGACATAAAATGACCACCCTCACTCCCTCCTACCATGCTGAAAACTACAGTCCGGATGACAACCGATTTGACCTGAGGCCTTTCCTTTATAACACCACGTGGTCCTGGCAATTCAGGTGTATAGATAACCAGGTAAACGCCCTCTGCTTGTGGGGTTTTATGTTTAAGGTCCTTGCAGTGGGACAAGCCCAGTTCCATTGAACATCCAGCAAAAGTCATTTAGGATAATAGTTTAAGACAGAAATAAATGTGATTGTTCTTTTCACATAACTGTGAGGCTAAGAATTCTTTGGTTTCAGTGTAGGCTGGTGGTGGGGTTTTTTGTTTGTTTTTTTTTCCCCCCCCCACTGTCAGGTACAGCTTGTCATATTGCTCTGAAAGCAAGAAGAAGCAAAAAAAAGAAGAGAATATATGTGCTGATGCCAGAAACTAATAGGTGTACCCATACTCATGAAGTCTTGCGCTAATGTGGAGAACAAGCTTATGTGTTTCGGTTTCAGTTCAGAACCTGCCTGAAGGGATCTGTTTAATTGCAGGATTAAGACTTGACCTACATCTGCGTGGGAAAAGCCAGTAAGAGGCAGCAATTCATTGTGAATGCTTCTCCCACCTGCTTCTACACCAATTCCTTTTTTAACCTTCCAGTCAGTTGACTCACAAATATGTGTTTGTTCAAAAACAGCAATGGCACAGTGCTCAGTTTGGGCACTGTGAGGTGTGGAGGGCCTCAAGCAACTATCAGAACCGTGCTTAGCATTCTGTAGTTTTTAGTCACACCTTCGGTGTTATTTTAATGCATTTTTTAATGGCAGAAGTGCTGGGCTGAAGAATTTTAGCACCTTGAAGTTTTTTCTGCCAGAGGTTTTTACACCTCAGTTGCTTTTAAGAATATGTTTGTATATGTAATAAAATATTAATTCCATCGTCTGTGAAATGCCAGACATGCTGTAATAGTGTTTTATTACCTTGAAACCTGGGATAAAAGCTACCATGTGCAGTGCTTTCTTGTAGCTCTGTATGGTGGGTTTTTTTTTCCCATCATTTTGGACTTTTTCCTCACTGAAGTCCAGGACAAAAGTTCTTTTGTCCTCACTGGGTGTTGGGTAAGATATTTTTGTAGGGTCTGGACCAAAATGCAATTATTTTATGCTTACAGTAAATGGGATTAAGATCTTTTAACGATCCAGGATATTGTTACGCTCTAACTAGATTTTATGTAGTACATGTTGTGCTATGCAAGGGTAGTAGTCATTGCAACTTATTCCTGGAAACCAGGAGTCATGTTTGGGGAAGAAGCTGTTTTGTAGGCAACAGTAACCTGAACTGATGAAGTCTGGCAGTAACCTGAACTGATAACTCATCGCTATGGATAGTTTTTTGCAAGACTGGGAAAGAATGACTTGCAATAACGTGAATGAGATCTGCCCTGTTAAAGAAAGGCAATACTGTAAGAGTTTGTGCTTAGTGTGCATATTCAGCACAACTGTAATTCTGAAGACAATGACTCTGTAGGACAATGTCACGCTGATAATTATGCTCCTGGGACTTAATCTGCACTTAAGGTTTTTCTGGCATTGTTACAGGATTCTGAAAATAAGGCATAAACTGTAAAGGACATGAAAAACACCTTTAGTTGGGTAGTGCCAGGTTTCCCTGTGGAAGAGTCAAGTTATGGCTTGAGCTCATTTGGGAAGGTAAATGGTTTGGAGTGCTAATGATAAAGAAATCTGCTGGATTTGTGGAAAGTACTTTTCTACCTTGGATGTTTGTAGTGTAGTCAAGCCAATTTAGTTATCCACTCAAAGTGCAAAATTCCCTCTGTATTGGCTGCCGAAGGAACAGGGGTAAGAGGAAGTTGAGTTCATAGCGTTTGCTGGGAACTGCCAGATTTGCCCTTGGAGTCTTAATGTCATTCAGTTCCACCTAGCTGAAGGTTCCACAGGGTGATGAAATTTCTAGGAACTCCAGAGTAGCGCTGTCTGTAGCTTCTGCCTTTGAGTTCTGTCTGAGGTAAAGGATGTGTGGTCAGAGCATGCACTGTAACAACTTCTAGGTGCCAAAATGTTCATTGGGATTTTAATAGCTGGCATAATTTGAAGGAACTGTGACATAGCTCAGAAGCCAGCTGGCACACCTACCCCCAAGGATTAGGTATTTGCAGTCTGTCTTCTGCTTTTTCCAGTGCTTACTGGTCGTACCACAAGATAAGCTGCTTTTGGTCAGACTGAAAGATTTATCAACCAGAGTATCTTTGTGTGTCTCTTTCATGACCAGTAGCAGCTGCTGAAATAAGAACATGAGAACAGGGAATTTATAATATGACCCTCCCTGTATATCCCCATAGATTTGGGGAACGTAGAACTGAATTTGTTCCAGAGTTAGAGACAACATGCAGAACATCATTTTGCATTCGTGCTCTTGGTCTACCCTCCATGAGTGTGTAGAATCCTTTCTGAAACTATTTATATTGTTAAGTCTTAACAACAGCTTAGCTTAATATAAGGTAATTCCTTTTCTGAAGTTTTAAGAACAGTGAAGGTCAGTTTTATAAAACTGCGTATGAGTGCATGAAAAGCATTGCCTATGTTTGTTTTAATGATTCTAGGCTCCCTGTTACGGGCAGGGTTCCATGGCCTGATCTGATCTGACGGCTGTAACTGAAAGGGCCGGTCTTGCCTCCCTTCCTGTCTCCCCTGGCTTCTGAGATGGCTTTGGTGCTTGTCTCGCTCCTTGGTCAGCCAAATGAAATCACCAAACTGACAAAAACTAGGAGCTGATGGGAGCGTGCAGCTGGCGGGAGGTTAAGGGGGTGGGTGGGAAGAAGGTTTGACCTTCTCTTTCGGCTGCAGCTAACACGCTGTTCAGCTCAATTGTCCCCTAGAGCATATCCCGCTGTCTGGTCCTGGTAAGTATGGGCTCTACACTGTTTTGTGAGGGACATCTAAAAAGACTGGAGATGTTAAATGCAAGCTGATTTTTACTATTGAATCAGTTTCCTTTTAACTTACAGGTATCCAAGCTAGAAAAAAAGGAAGGAATTTCTCTTGCTGAAGACGTGGATTGATTTGCTGTCTCATTTAACTGTAGTAATTAATTTGCTAAGCAGAATGTTCAAAACTGGAGTATACTGTGATGATGAGCAACAATGACCCAATTGTCGAGATGGCCATTCTAAATGCTATTTGTAATCAAGTTGGGTTGTTTTTTTTCTTTTTTTTGATTGATTCCCTGTTTTGTTCCCAATATACTTAAACTGTAGTTTGGCTAAGGAGTCATTTGTCAAGGATTTTCTTCAACTACTTGAGTTAATTGCCTTTAACTGAAAATATTTGGATAAGGCCATCAGTCATAAATAAAAGCAGGGCAGTCTTGTGAAAGTGAATACATATACAAATATCAAGTTTGGTTCTAATAATTTGGATATGACTTCTGAGTAACATTGAGCTGAAAGTATAAAATTTTAACAGTTCTGGCATGTGCTGTTGAGGGGAAAAACTCATTTTACTTTGTAATAAACTTGTAATTTTATAATGCTGTTTGACTCGGTTCTTATTTTACATGTTTTTTATTTATCTAGCATTGGCTGTGTCGACTGGTCCAACGTTTTGAATGGCCACATAAGGTCTAATTTAGCAAGGTATTGGAAGCATGTCTAACTTGAAGCAGATGGGTAACTCCCTTGTTAGCAAGATCCAAATTAGGGTTCAGCTTCGTGGTTTGCATCTACTTGCTGTGTAACTTGTGACAATTAACTTTAAAATCTCTGACTTAATTTTCCAGAGAGGAGTAATACCTACTTCATCAGGGCATTCACGGATTGATTAATTGTTATTGCTCTCCAAGATCCTCAGCTGTATTTTAAGGATTTTGAATAAAGTTGGCATGGTGTCTTTTCCCTCCAGGCGTTTTTGATACGTAAGGGTAACTTGGTGTACCTGAAATAAGAAATGTCTTCTGGTGCATGGTATCTTGAACAGGGAGGACACAAGTTTGGTGTCCGTGCCACTGTTATTCCTATCAACTCAGGGGCTGCCTGTCCAGGAGCTGTGATCTGTTGTCACTGACCAGGCCATCGGTGAGTGGTTGGACTTGCCCATATCATCCCTTTACTGTTGGAATCAAGCTTTCTGGGTGTAAAACATCTGGAAATGGAGTCAATACTGCAAAATGAAGTATAAAGCCAACTTCCTCTGAGCTCAGTTGTGCATTACTCACCTTCCAACTACTATATGCAAAAACTTATTTTAACTTCCCAACTTCACTGATCTTTTAAGTGTGTCCAGTGCTGTGGAACAATAACAAAGGTACAAGGCTAGGCTCGTTCCTTCACTTGAGTCCCTTTTCTACTTGTTCACTGAAAGTTTGGCCACTTCTGTTGCTTTTTTCTTAAATTTCATTTGAAAGATGTGCTTTTAATAGGGGAAATGAGAAATGCATTTATGAGGTTCTGAGCAAACAATGCTATAACCACGACAGCGGGGCAGCTTAGACCGAGTGAGACTTTCATTAAAATAGCTGTACATCGTGCTAATAGAAAATGTCTGCTGAAGGGCGTGTTCTCCACATTTGTTTTCCTCGATCCAGAAAACCAGAGTTGATTCACTTGTGGTTAAAGATGCTGCATTGTTCTTGGTGCTTTTATTATATGGTATTCATTTAAGTACATAGCTAACTTACCTCAGTGGACGTTGCTGGTACTAAGAATGTTTATCTGATTGAAAACCCCAGCTGAGATTCGCCTGCCTTCATTGTCAGTTGGGCACTTCCACTTCCTGTTCCAGCCAGAGGGAGTGGATGGATTTTGAACAGAAGTTCAAACAGAAGTTCAGCAATCCATTATATATTTGAAGGCTTCTTCTTTTATTTTTTCTTCCTGAAGTTATTGATTCTCTTTCCTGACAATCACAGAAGAGGAAAGAAGGAAACAGTTGCTTTCATTCACATAAAAAGTAGTAGCAAAAATAATACAGTGTTTACATGCACTGCCTGTTACTGTGGTTACCCTGAAGATTTCAGACACTTAATGAAAGGACACTCTTGTTTCTTAGCAATAGCACTTTCAGCATGTGTGCAAATTGCATTTGATTTCTTAGCGTTGAATACAGATTGTACCAACCCACCGCTTTTTTCCTTTTGCTATCCTGAAGTTCTCACTGTACCTGTTCCATCTGATGCCTCTAGTTCAACTGTTATAAAAAATAACTCCACTTTTATCAGTGCTTTGCTGTCTACTGAGAATGGGAAATAATGTAATAATATAATATGATGTTCACTGTTTGCTAGTGATGACTGTTCTGGTAACAGTAAAGTCACCAAGTTTTGCTTTTTATCTTGCTGGATCGCACCCTGACTTATTTAGAAGACAGTGTAAAACTGTGATTTTTTTGACTCATTGGTTGTGCAGCTGAAGACAAAAACTACCCCATCCCTAATTAAAGAGTGTAAGATGGATCTACTTTTACTGCTCAGGTTGGAATACCAAAATGAGGGATCAGTACACTTTTTTTTTTTTTTTTTTTCAGATGCTGCCGTAGCTCCCAGTATGTGGCAGAAAAGTGTAGCTGTCAAGTTATCCTGACATCTACTCTTCGGAAATTGCAGCTTTATCAAATTGAACAGTGGAAGTGTGTATGAAGGGGACCATGAGGAAAGGGGGAGAGTAGCAAAAGTGACGCATCTTTTAACAGTAAACGTAGCATGAAGTAAGGCCATCATTGCTTCTGGGATGCCTCCATAGCTAAATGCAAATTAAATACTTTCTGCGACTAGGGATGTCAACGATTGTTTCAGAGTGTGAATACGAGCAGGCAGCAATCCTTTCTGTCCTCGCTGTTCCTCAGTAACTCCCAACCCGACCCCCCACGGCCGCAGTGTTGCTCCCCCTGAGGCAGTGACCGGCCTAGAGGTACCCTCGGCCGCGGATACCGAGTTCACAGCTGCCGTGAGGTAAAAAAACCTGCAGCTCCTCGTGAGGGATGTTATTTTTTTAATCGGAAACAATGTCTGTGAGCTGCTCTCGTCAGCTCAGGGGAAGAACTTACCGTTTTTACCAGAGACTTACCGTCACGTCTTTCATCGCCCCTCGACTGCTTAAAAATACCAGTTCCTGAAGCGAAGGACGTTGCCGGGGCGGGAGACGGTGGCCCGTTTGCTGCCAGAAGGAGAAGTCTCTGAGGGGACAGCGGG